ATTTATTTATTTATTTATTTATTTATTTTCACAGAACTGGGGATTGAACCCAAGCCCTTGTACTTGCCAGGGAAGCATTTGTTCCACTGAGCCATCTCCCTGGTGCATGCTTTCTAGAATTTATAAAGAACTAAAAAACATAAGGGCCCCAAAATTTGAAGACCCTATCTAGAAATGGGCATCCGAGATAAACACACACTTCTCAGAGGACAAAATTAAAAATGTGAGTAAATATGTGAAAAAATGCTCCACATCACTAACCATCCATGAAATGCAAATTAAAACGACACTGAGATACTGTCTCACCCCCAAAAATTTGATTATAAACAAATCAACTAACAACAAATATTGAAGATGCTGTGGGGAAAAAGCAACACTTCTCCACTGCTGGTGGGAATATAGACTTGTGAAACCATTATGGAATTCAGTATGGAGTCTTCTTAAAGACTAGGACTGGAAATCCCATTCAAGCCAGCTATCTCCCAACTGGAACTTTCCCAGAGGAACTCAAAACTTCATATCAGAGTGATATATGTGTACTTATGTTTATAGCAGCACAATTTGTGATAGCCAAATCTTGAAAACAAGCAAGATGCCCATCACCTGAGGAATGGATGAAAAAGATGTGGTATTTTTATACAATGAATTAATAATCAGTTATAAAAATGATAAACTTGAAGCATTCATATTTAAGTGGACACCACTTGAAGATATAGTTATAAGTGAAATAAACCAGACCCACATGTGTAAATATATAGTCTTCCTAGTATAAGAACTCAAAAGAAGAAATACAAATAGAAAGGTATAATGCAATTAAAAGGAAAGCTAGAACTTGAGGATTAGTCAATGAAGAGAGGGCAAAGAGGAAAGCTAGGGAACATGACAGAGGCAAAGCCATATATTTATAGGCACAAGATGGGTAAGGCAATGATCTTGAGAAGCTTCAGCATGTTTTTGAAACTAGCAGTTAATTGGTATGATTCTCACCCTGACTAGCTGTATATATTGATGCCTGTGAACTAAGCAACTGCACTGAAGTTAGGAATGTATAACAGTTAGATCATGCTTGGAATGCCTGTCATTCTGGCCTTCTAAATATGTGCTGCTTGTCATAACATACCAATTATTGTCATACTGTCTCTCAAGTAAATGCTTGTTTATAAAAAAAGATAATAAATGAAAAAAGTGGCAAGAAGAAAAAAATGTGACAGTACTGTTCTGCTCCAATTCTGTATATGTTTAGATTTCTAAATTACTGTGTAAAAATATGTAATTTTTCACTTATATTTTACAAAATTTTTTATATTTTTAATTTTTTTCTTCATATTCTGTAGGGACTTAAAGTTTAATATATCAATACTTGATGGAAAATAACTATTCTATGTATGCCTAATGTATTTGATATTCAGACAGATAGGTTAAAACCAATTGCACATGTTATAGGGTGGTAATAAGCTTCTCTTCTGGATGGTTAATAACCTTTGTTTTCAGACCAAAAATTAGAGAAAAAGAGGGGCTGTAAGGACAGCGAACATTATGGCCCTAGCCTTTCAAAGTCATTGAAGACTCAGAACATAGAATAATCTATACTGTAAGATCATTTAACTCAGTGATTTCCCAGATTTTCTGATCAAGGAGATTATGGGGTCACAGGGGAATGTGATCGATGATGTAGAGTGTGCCTAAGGAGAGTCATATGGAGAGAAAACATTCTCTTAGGCTTTCACAGAGAGCAAATTGGTCAAGCAATGACTGTAACATCCACATGGCTGACACTGACAACAGATCTACAAAGTGCGATACAGGGTTTCAGGATAAATCCTCTTGGATTTGACTGGTCTTATTAGATATAAAAGTTACATTTCTTGTTATATAGGTCTTGCTTTATCTTGGTCTTAACCATCTAGCTGAAAGGTGAAAAAAAACACAGTATAAAAGGTGAAGCCATGTTTGTTTGTGGGCCTGTAAGGGTTCAGGTCAACAACCTCTGATATTGCCAGTCCTGCGGATGACCTACTACTATTAATGACTTACTGGACTCTCTTGGAATATTTTGTTGAATTCATGCACCTACAATATTTACATGACAATGGAATACCCTTCACTGACAAAACTAAACAAGAAAAATGAGTTACAAATGAAGGACTATTTTGTATCTCTATATAAAAATAGGATAAATATACAGCTAATTTTTCTTAATTCATTGAGAAGAAAGATTTGCACTAGCAGTGTTTGGACGGGACATCATGTCAGCATCTTGTACTATGAATAACCACTAAGTAGATAATAATATGCAATGTGTTAATTATTGAAACTCTTCTCCTAATCTCTTTTGATACTGTCTCATTGCTATTTGTTTCTCAATAAAATTATTTTTAAAAAAGAAATACTTGAAAAAAAACCTACCAAGACATATAATAGTCAAGATCACAGAAATGCAGCACAAGAACAATATAATGAAAGATGCTAGAGAAAAGAAACAGATCACATTTAAAGGAAAACCCATCAGAATAATGGCAGACTTCTCTTCACAAACCATGAAGTCAAGAAGAGCATAGAGCAGAATACTTGAAGTCCTCTATCTTTCTTCCAATAAGCGTGTTTGGTCTCTTTGTCAAAGATCAGGTGGATCAGTGTGTTTGTAGAGGCTTCTGCATCTTCTGTTCTATTGATCCTCAGGTCTATTTTGTTGCCAATACCATGCTGATTTTATCACAGTAGCCTTGTAGTGTAATTTTAAGTCAGGAATTATAATGTCTCCTGTCTTGTCTTTGTTGCTCAGGATTGCCTTTGTTATTCTAGGTCTTTTCTGGCTCCAAATAAATTTTAGTAATGATTTCTCTAGGTCTGTGAAGTATGTTGGTGCTAGTTTGATAGGGACTGTGAGAATATATACA